AGCATTCCAGGCCGACAGGTCCGACCAAAAGTTTGTAGAGTGCGAAGTCCCATCTTCAGCGTACCCTGTTTGCACATCACAGGTCCTCGTATCGCAACAAGCGACCGGGACCTGCGTTCAGCATTCGACAAAAGTAACCTGTGGAACCCTGGAACAACAGTAGTCTATACTGATTGCTACATCCCATTCTGGCAAGTCCACACTTGATTTCAACCTCCTGCAGATTAAAAGAAAATAACCCCGTTGATGCACCACGGTTCATGTAGAACAGGCTTCCTTGAGATCTAGCTAGTCGTATGGACTGGTAGAACTCAGAAGGTCACTAGATTGCTTCCTGGCTGGTGAAAAAACCGATGCCAGCATCCAGAGACTGATGCAACGTTCCTTTTGCCAAAAGCAACATCGTGGTGTCGATTCAATTGATTGATTGATTCAAATTCAATCACAAGCGGACCAAGACGAAAGGAAGGAAGGGAAACACAAGCAAAGACAAGGCATGGGAAGCCTTCGTTGGGAACATCGGAACAATCAATTGGCTGGCCAATGCGCCACAAGGATCGGGACCTGATTACAGCCTGTCCTGGACTTGGGAGGATCACCGATGAAGTACAGTACCGCTCATGCACCGGTGCGATACACTACAAATCACTACCGGTAATAGCTACCGTATGGGCTACCGGGAGCTAGTAGACTAGCTAGTACAGTACTGGTACAGTGTACCGCGCTGCCATGACATGTGTTGCTGTTTACCGGCCGGGTAAGCCTTTCCAACTTCTCGATTCATTCCCGATTGGGTTCTCTTTTCCTTGAGGAAGCAGCAGGATGTCACTCACGAATGTCCTTGGAACATCAAATAAACTACTATGCCTTTGCTAATGATTAATGCCTATTCTCGAGTAGTCCTAGTAGTTTTGACCACCAGTACAGTATGTATTTTAAATACTACAGTAATACCTATCATAGGCCGCGGACGAGAACCACCTTGCTAATTGATGAAGGGTTCAAACCGTGATGTGAAAAAAAGAATGGTGTGGCTTTATTAGCTACTAGCTAGTAGTCACGTTCTTCCTGCGGGGCAGTTGAGTTTGAGAGTAAACTTACTTATGCTTTAGTCACTTTTTACGATAAGTCCCACCAGGTAAGATTCACCCGGTATAAACCTCATTGGATCAAGCTCCTTCCGAATCGCTAAAGCGGAAGCAGCGCAAGTGAAATATTTCCACGTGCTTTGGCAATTTTCCTAGAAATCTCATTTCTGGATTTTTGATAAAAGGGGGGGCTGTCGGTAGTAAAAGTACAAGTAAGCTAGCTAGTTGTCGACTATGGTGAATTGAGGAGTTTGGTCACGGTGTGGTTTTCAGCTCGTGACACTAGCTAGAGAGTAATATTGCCCAGGTGCATTCACGAGAGGCAACCAATTGTTAGGAAAAGTGTGATTGTATTCAGAAAGCATCTCTTGTTTGAGTCACGGAATACAAACAATATGGTGATGTGAATGCCTGGATCTTCGCGATTTGCTAACCTACAAGAACCTCGACCGCCCAGCCCAGTTTGGTCTTCTCAGGCTGGCCACGGTTCCCGAGAGTTTGAGCACAAACAAAGCTCACAATTTTCTCCTCAGGAAAACAAAAACAAAAACGCATCAGGCAAAGCAAACCAAAGCAACGACATCCTTTCATCTCACTTGTTTGACCATGAAGTTCCTTTCTCTTGCGTTGTTGGCCCTCCTCCCTGCCACTGTCCTTTCTACGCCTGTGCCCCTCTACTGTGAAACCTTTTCACTGGAGATCTCTGCTGTTTCCTTCGGCTTCCAAAACTGGGTGGGTGGTAGCAATGTGAATTATGATCCAGCGGAAGGAGAAATTGAGTGGGGACAGACTACTGGCAACAATGACCAATCTGGCTTGGATACCGCTTCTAATGTGCCTGGGACTGTGATTCCTGGACCGGAGTTTGCAATTGGTACCTTGACTCACAACAACAACCCCATCACAGGTTCAGCCTTAACTCATGTTGAACTTGTCGTGACAGTCACTGCCAATGGTATGCCCTACCAGTTTGTCTACCAGCTTTCCATTCATGAAACACCAAATTCAGCAAATCCCTGTCCTTATCCAACTACTGGGAGTGGTGGTTGTTCTGATCGAATCTTCATTATTGATAATCCTTCTCCACAAACTGTCATGCTGGCTGGTGGAGTCAACTTTGAAATTGATCTGCTTGGTTTCCGCATGTGTCCCAATTGTCCTATCAAGACACAGTTCATCTCTCAAGAGCGCCAATCGACCAGTGCCGATTTGTATGCAAACTTGGTTCTGACTGACTGCCCTCGTAGAGGTGGTGGTGGTGGAGACCCCCACTTTGAAACCTGGACTGGACACAAGTTCTATGATTACATGGGAGCCTGTGACTTGCATTTGGTTCAGGCCCCCCACTTTGCACCCGCATTGCCCTTGACTGTTGATGTCCGCACCAAGATTCGCTCCTGGTACTCCTTCATTGAATCTGCTGTTGTACAGATTGGCGATGAAACCCTTGAGATTGGTTCCTTTGGAGATTATGTGTTGAATGGAGTCCAAAATGCCGACATGCCCAATGCAATTGCTGGATTTGAGGTCAATGCATTCAACCCTACCAAGAACGTGCACATTTTGGAGATCTACATTGATGAACAGGAAAAGATCATCCTTCGTGCCTTTAAGGACATGGTGACTGTCAAGATTGATAATGCCAAGAAGGAACGATTCCATGGTAGCTCTGGTATGATGGGAGAATTCGAGACTGGACATGTCTTGGCCCGTGATGGCATCACACGAGTGGAGGATCCCATTGCCATTGCCAATGAATGGCAAATCCGTGACACTGAACCAATGCTCTTCAATACTGTCAATGGACCTCAGTACCCCGAAGCCTGTGCCATGCCCGAGCGCACTGTTGAACAAGCCCAGCGCCGTTTGGGTGGCAGTGCTGTGTCCAAGTCCGAGGCTGTAACAGCATGTGCTCATTGGTCCAAAGCCATGCAGGAGGCTTGTGTCAGCGATGTTATGGCCACTGGTGACTTGGAGTTGGCTGAGGCGGGAGAGCTTTAAAGGCGATGTCGGTAGAATCGCATGGTGTGGTGGCTGAAACCATGTCTTACTTCCGAGTTCCTGCATTCCCGCCAACAAAGTTGGTAAGAGCACGGTCGAACTCAGTAAGCAGTGGTCTCTTGAAGATGGTGGAGGATGGTAAAAACGGTAAAGCAATTGGTTGAAAGTGGTGGAGTGTGATAGTGGTAAAGTATTCCAAAAGTTGGTCCAAGGTGACACAGGAAATAGGAAGTTGGTTTTGTGCCGCCCCCGGGGTTAACACACAAGCTGGTGCTTCTTTGTTGGTTTCCTACATATTCATGTAAAAGAGAAAGAACGAAAAAAAGACATTTAAAAAACCTAACACCAGTTAAAAAGGCAGAGTGTTTTTGTAGGCTTCTTGGTTGCCCTGTTCGGTGCTGGCGAGCTAGTCTTTTTCCTTGGATGGGTAGCCATCGCAGTGGAAGGATGGAAGGAATTACACAAGCTTACTGTTTGAAGCACAGGCGACGTAGTGTGCCTCGCACTAAAGGCAGACATGCTGCGCAAAAATCCACTGCGAAGCTGGAGGTCCCGTCTCATCATTATTCCACATCAAGTAGTCTAAACTCATTGACCGAGCCTTTTCCACTTCGTATCGTCATCTACGCATTGAAGTTGCCAATTTCAACACCATTACCGTCTGGATCGTAGAGAAACAACTGTTCAATGGCCGTGCCCGGCACGTGATTGACGGCAAACGTGATGTCATGAGCCTGCAGAATCAACTTGGCAGATTCAATATCCAAGACCGTCAGGGCAATGTGACGACTGCGACGAATGAAACGCTCGGGGACCAATGCGTGTTCTTGTTCTTCATTGCAAGAAGGTTTGTCGGGATCACGTTCAATAATGTGTAGTGCTTGGCCCCCGGCCAGTCGCAACCACGCTCCACCAAATCCAAAGTCGGGACGCGGCAAGGGTTTCAAACCGAGGACGTTTTGATAAAATGCCACCAATCGTTCTACATGTTCCGTTTCGAGGGAAATGTGGTTGACTTCAATGATTTGGAGGGAGGGTGGTTTGGTATTGTCATTGTTGTCGTCGCAGTCGTTATCGTCACTATCATCTTCATCACTCATCATTTCCGTAACGTCCGCAGTGTCGCCTCGACGCAACCAAAAGCCACGTTCGGACGGTGCAATGTGTTGCTGCATGAATTCCCACACGGGTTCCATGGCATTTTCCTCACTACTACTCTTGTGGCATGGCAATGTGGCCGTTGGCACTCCCGTCAACGTATTGATATCAATCTGAAAAGTAATGGCGTCAGTGGGTCGTGGCCAGGGTTCGTTCGAAAGGAGCATGGTGGTTCCATTGGGTGCCATGGGAGGCATTCCATTGCGCATGCGTCCCAAATGACGACTCAACAAGACCATGTTGCGACAGTCGTCGACTCGTCGTTGATTGTAGAGTTGCAAGAGTTCCTGTATGTTGGTGGCATGCTCGGCAGCACACCCTAACACAAAGGCATCGTGAATGGCGAGATTGGATCCCTTGACGGCATGCGGCGTAATGGGGTGTGCGGCATCGCCCAGTAGACACATGTTGTGATGAGCATTGGTGAAATGGGAGAGTGGTGTTTGAATGTCATAAATATCATTTTGAAAGGGTGCCGGGGTGCATTGAATGACTCCTCCAAGCGCATCGCCCCATTCGCCCTTGGCCGATTGCTGCAGAGCGGCAATATCGTCTGGTGTAGCCGTGGTAACGGTGAGACCGGGTGGTGCCGTCGGGTGGTCACAACATTCGTATACGAGCCAATTGACGAGTCCATTTCCAATATGATATAGAACGGCCGATTTGCCCATGGGACCCCAGATAAAGTACATGCAATTTCCAAAATCAGGATATTCCGTGCGCAATGCCGTTTGGACCGAAGCTGGTAGATCTTTTTCGGGCACCGTGCCTCTCCAGGCAGTGTATCCGGCAAATCTCATGTCATTCTCCTTCTGGTCTTCTTCGTCATCGTCGTCGTCATCATCTCGGCAAGATTCGGGGTCCACGACCTGTTTCCGAAATCGAGATCGCGGTCCATCTGCCACAATGACCAGATCAAACTCCATGGTCACATCCTCCAGCGTCGCTCGCTCCACCGCTTCCACTTGGACAGAAGTGCCGCAGTCCATAATTTCCACAACTTTGATTCCTTTTCGAATGGGTGTTTCGAGTTCCGCCATGGCAGGAGGATGGACCACCGAGGCGGCCTTTTCCAGTCCTTTGGTCAATTCGGAATACCGTACCGCCGAGTAAGGATATGGTTGTCGTGACAAAATGAGTGGCTCTTTTTGGTTGTGAACCACTCGTTCTTCTGCCCACCGCATGCGTTGTACCGTCATGTCTCGGACATTGGAATAATGGCTGGTCTCTTTGTGTTCCTCTGGCTGTTCTTCCTCGTCGTCGTCGTCGTCAGAGCCTACTAATGCGAGTCCCAGACCTTTGAGAATGCCCACACTCACATCATCGAGTCCAATACCGGCACCAAAGCCCGATTGCATGTTTCGTTCCAGCACTTGGACATGACAAAAGCCAGCGGCGCGCAGACATGCCGCAGCCGCCAGTCCTCCAATGGAACCACCCACGACGAGGATGCGCTGTTGTTTCAACGCAAAAGACGACGCACAAGGGACGGCAAGAGTGGGAAGAGCCGCCAAAATCTCGGCCGTCGTTCCGTCGGTATACAAACAATGGTTGTTCTTCATCCTTGCTGCTTTCAATTGTTCAAACAAGCAAGTCAAGTCGTCGGCTGTCTTTATGGCGCTTGGGATCCAATCTCCAAGGGCTCAGATAGACAGTGACGAAAACTTGTGTGTGTGAACTTGGAGTCCTTTATGCAAACAAGTGGTGGTCTTGCAGCATCTTCTTCGTCTTGTTGCTTCAAGGCTGCACGTGCAATGACGAGGGACTTTTGTGACGAAAGCGTTCTTCTTTCCACGTCATTAAAAGCCAGTGAAGCCGGTTAACTCGCGGTCTTGGTCCCAGACTTTTTGTGACTGGTCTGCGTGCAGGAATCGAGTTTCAGACAGCTTGGGAAGTCGAACGAAAATCTTGCCAGGTGCATGCAAAGATCGATCGAGAGATTGCCTGTTGGTCCTTGTGCTCTGGCTGTCGCAGCAACAAGCAAGTCTATAAAAGCTGTTTACTAGCTAGCAATACAGCCATCAGAGTATTAGTATTAGTAATAATGACGGAACCAAAGAAGCATGCTGCTCTCAAGCGAGTGTTGTCCGACATTCCAGAGCCCAAACAACGGTCGGGGTTGGCGGGAGCCACTGTGAACCTGACGAATGCTATTGTGGGAAGTGGCATTATAGGAATTCCCTTTACGATTCGAGAGAGCGGACTCGTACTGGGGTTGTTGTTACTGTTGTTGGTATCGTATCTGGCCAGTGAGTTGATTTGTTGAATGTTGATTGAAAGGATTCTGTGGCATACGCCATTTGTATCAATTGCCTTGGCTCATCATTCTTTCTTGTAAATTTTGTTACGGCTTGTACTTATTGTACTTGAATTATAGCTCGCTCACTACGCATGATTGTGGAAACGGCCAGTTTCCATCCCCAACTGAAACTGGTCGGAGTGAAAACCTATGAGGATCTCATGTTCATGCCGTTTGGGAGCGTCGGCAGCATGTTTATTCTCGTCAACAAGTTTGTCTTTGCCTATGGCTGTATGGTGGCCTATTTGCTCATTATTAAGGATACCGTTCCCGTGGTATTGGGATTGGATAGTAATAATGACCAAACCCAACGACAACTCATCATGGTCGCGACGAGTCTGTTCGTCATGTTACCGCTGTCGTTGATGCGAGACATGGCGTCCTTGGCATGTACTTCCTTGCTCTCTGTGGCGGCCGATGTCCTCTTGATTGTTTTCATGATTGTCTACAGTCCCGTTGCCGAGACGGTTGATGCCAACGGAGGATTCGGACAAGTATTAAAAGACAATGCTTTTAATAGTCATGTCTTTATCGGTCTTGGTATTATCAGTCAGGCCATGACGTGTCATCCCCAAGCGCTCATGATTCATGGATCGCTCGATGATCCAACCTCACGCAATTGGGCCACTGTCACGCAACAGTCCCTGGGAATTGCCTGGTTGCTTTGCACAATCATGGGAATTGTGGGATTTCTCGGATTCCTCGATCAAACGCAGGGAGACATTCTCAACAATTTTGCCTCTGCTGGGTCGGTTGCCGCCAATGGATCGCGAGGTCTCGTGGCCATTACCATGATTTTCACCTATCCGATGCAAGCCTTTGTGGCACGACATGTCGTGGCCAAACTATTGTTCAATGGAGACTCGGAAGGAGATCTACATGTACCCAAATGGTGTTTTTGTGTGGGACGACGAGAACTATTGACATTGACAATCTACATTGCCACGCTGATACCCGCCTTGATGTTTGATGACTTGGGTCCCGTTCTTTCCATTACCGGCGCCATTGGTGGTAGCTGTTTGGCATTTATTGGACCTGGACTCATTTATTTGGGGGCACACGGATCTTACTTTATCGAGTACACCAATGAAATGATGTACAAACGCAAGACAGAAATTCCGACTACTACGGAACTCCCGGCCGAAGGAGATGCCAAGGCACAAATGGCCACAACCACGTCGCCCAGCAGTGGCAATGGAAGGACACCCTGGTGGTGGTGCTTGGTACTCATGCCATTGTGGCGCTCCATTGCAGCTTCCGGAAGCGAGGGGATGAACCAAAATTTACAAGCACTGGAAGAAGAGTCTCCAGGTTGTACCACAGTCGCACCCACGGGAGAAGTTATTGGACCGATGAATGGGGACTTTTACCTGGCCATGTTTCTAATTGTGTTTGGTGTGGTAGCCTTGGTAGCGGGTGTTGCGACCAATATTTACGTACAGCTCGTCGTCTAAGCAAGCAAGCAACATCGGCATGATCGGCATGATACAGAAACCCATGAATGGCAACAGGTTTTGAGTCTCCCACTCGCATTGGACGCGATAACCAGCTTGCTTGAAGCAGCAACCAAGCATTCGCAGACACATTCGTCTATGGATGGATGCGAGCCACAAAACAGCCGCAGATAGCCACATTGCAATCAACGCCACAGATTCTACAGTACCGTAAGCATGCGACTGTAGTCAACAAAATTAATCATGGAAGGCAACCAGGGCTGCAAAATATTCCTGCCAGTCATGCATTTTCCATTTGCTACAATCTCTGTTCTGTTTTTATTATGATGGCAATGATTTGTTCATTACCAATTTAACATACTAACTAACTGGTCCAGGTCTCAATGCCATCATTACATCATTACAATTCGATATCAATACGTTCCACAGCAGGAACATGTCGTCGCAATTTGACGCCGGCCATGCGGAATAGGATCCGACTCGCTTTACAACCATCGGTATCGTGATACTTATCTTGCAGGTACACGACTTGTCGAATGCCCGCTTGAATAATCATTTTGGCACATTCATTGCAGGGAAAGAGTGCCACATAGAGTGTGGTGCCTTGTAAATTGGCACTGCCCTTGTTCAAAATGGCATTGACTTCGGCATGACAGACGTAGGGATATTTGGTGTGCAATAATACGCTGTCAGGTGAGTGTCGCGCCCACGGGAGGGCATCGTCGGAACAGTGACGGGGAAATCCATTGTATCCCACGGCGACAATGCGTTGATCGCTAGACGCAACAATGCACGCTCCCACTTGGGTATTGGGATCTTTGGATCGTTGGGCGGTCAAAAAGGCCATGGCCATGAAATAGTCGTCCCAGGAGAGATAATTGGTGCGTTTTTGAGAGACCGCGGCGGTCCAATGGGCTTCTTTTTGTAGTAGCGCACGGTGTTCTTCTTCTAATTGTTCTCGCTGCTGCAACAAGAGCTGCTTGGATTGTTGTGAATGATTATTGTCGTCGTTGTCCTGAGGCAGGACCGATCGGGGAGAAGACGTACTCGTGTTGCTCTTTTCTTCATCGCTGGCAGACGGTTCTTCTTCTTCTTTGGGGATGAGGAGCTGTACCGTCTGGACTGTGGGTTGATATTGTCGAAGTTTGACTCCTGACATGAGCAGAATAATCCTGCTAGCTTTGTAGATATCTTCTTCATGATGATCATCTCGAATGTAGACAACCTCTCGAATTCTGGACTGTGCAATCATCTTGGCACATTCGTTGCCTTTTATTTATGAAGTGGATAAGATTAATAAATAAGGAAAGGATGAGATGAGACAAAAGAACGAACGATAATAGACCATTTGTTCCATTTGGGTTTGACTGTTTGACTGTTTCTTACACGGAAAGTGTTTTACATAGATGGATGCTCCTGCCACATCGGCACTGCATTTGTTGAGAATGGCATTGACTTCGGCATGACATTCATATGCTTGTGGAGAATGCAGAAACTGCGTGGAATCTTGCCACGGCAACAAGTCATCACTGCAATTGCGTGGAAATCCATTGTAGCCAATTCCAATGACACGCTTGTCAGCATCGACAATGGCGGCACCCGTCGGGTGGTTGGGATCCTTGGATCGTTGCGCCGACAAAGCCGCCACGCTCATGAAGTAATCATCCCAACCGAGATATCCGGATCGTTTCGTGGTCGCATTGGGAGCACAACAATCGTACTGCGCTTCTTCCAGCAACAGTTGGCGGTGGTGGGTAGAAATAGTAGTAGTACATGTAGTAGTAGTACTTGTTGCTCGAGGGGTATCCGTCATGGTCAAGATGGGTAGACAGCACAAGCAGACGAGGAGGAGAGAATGCGAAAGTGACCTAATGATTGAACAGCCGATGGATACAGTACCAGTACTAACTGCTAGTAGTAGAGAGAGATGGTTCCACCGGTAGTTAGTTAGCTAGTTAGCTAGTAGTGTCGAGTGGGTGTTTTGGCCATGCTTTATGGAGATAGCAATTTCTTGGAACCAGAAAGCCCATCTCGTCATTGGCTTCAGTTTCGAGAGGAGAGATTTCTTTCTGAAGGTTGAGGATAAAGGAAAATATCCACGTCTGAGCGTATGGTACAGTCGGGAGCGTACCTTCAATCGCAAAACTGAGGCCCAGGTGAAGACTCGACTCCGTGGGTGGGCACACACTTGTGATTAGTAGAGCAGCTTCTCAAAGGCATTATGGAGCGCTCCCTGTCAGGGCTGGTCCATGTGGCGAGGGGCATGTTGATGCAGAAGTCTCCACAACAATTGTTGTATCGCCCCTCTGATTGAGTCGATAACTGGCTGGAGCTAGTACAGTACCCAGCTAGCTACGGGCTGTACCGGTACCGCCGGAACAGTTGCTTCTGTTACATTACTTTTGAAGTTCGTCGTCGAATAGACAGGTCAGCACTTCTGCACATGCGCCTCATCGGTTGGGAAAGAAGGGCGAACTGCCCCCAATCTTCTTCCCCCCACTCCTGTCTCCAAGAAAGAAAGTGTATTTCAATGGCTTGCTTGGTACCAACTAGTATGCAAGATTAAAAGCGATAATTTGGCCTTTTTGAGTTTGGGAACGACCTATCGGATACCGGTACTGCTGGCCCATGGTACAGTATGTCCAGGCTGTGCGTGTGCGCGGCCAAGCATTATTCAGCCACCACGGCAAAGAGCGAGCTCACTGGTAACAAATAACAAACAAGCAAAGTAGTTGTGAAGTAACAGACCTCAGGTGGTACTACATGTACATGTACACATTTACTAGCTAGTGGCTAGCTAGCTTGATTGCACCATGCTCAAATTGCGGGAAGAATATGGTTCTTCACCAGAAGTGAGATGCCTGCTCTTCTACAGTACTGTTCAGGAGGAATGGCAATGGGAACTGCTGCGCCAACCTGCACAGCAAAGTGGCCACTCGGAGGCGAGCTCAGCTTCGTGTCTTCATGTCCTGCCTTTGGGATCGGGTAGGGGCGAGTCTGCTACAGAGGCTAGCCAGCTAGCCAGTCTGTAGCCTCGGCACCGCTTTGTAGCCACGACTGTCCAATCCCCACTGTCCACACAGTGGACGAACGATGGAAAGATGGTGCCAAAGAACTGCTTGAACAGTGAACAACGACCTAGCTAGTACTCGGAGTAGTGGGTTACGGTTGTTACGGTAGCCCAGTAGGATTGGTACTAGTATGTTGGTATGTTGGTATGGTTGATGCGATGAGACGCTTCAACTCTCTGAATTCTCTTTTGCTCCGTTGTAGTACTGGTTTGGTCACAGTGGTCTGGAAGAGTGAAAACAGAAGTTGAAGTATGCGTTAGGTGCACGCTACATAGTTTTTCGCTGGTGTATTTTGTTAGGAGACAGACATTTTTCAGAATGCTCCTCTGGGAGAAGTAAAGAGTACACTATGTAAGTATTCATCGTCATATCACTGCGCTTTTTTAAAAGATCCCAGCATCTTTCTTTCCGGCTTCTCTACTCAGATTCACTGGGACTACCTTCATCTTGGCATTTAACATCTTGCTTGATCACTTGGTGATCCTATGTACCACCGGTGGCGCTCTGCTAATGTCACCATGTCACCGACTCAACACTCAACACCCACTCCCGCAGATTGTCCCTTTGAATTATTTCTCAGCACAAACGCACAATTCACCTTCCCGCGCTGCATCACACAATTTTCAATACATACCAGGAACCATGCCCATCCCAACCTTCATCTCGATCTCTGACAATGATGACATGGATATCAACCTCCCCCTGTCTCCCATTTCAGGCAACGAGGAGACTCGTCATCAACGAACCGAAGCCCGCTTTCAGAATAGTGCCCGCAAACATCGCCAACGTCTTGGTAACAACAATCGAATGATGTGCAAGATGCCGCTTGTGGAGGATGCTCTGGAACGCGACGGCCTTGCTATCTCCAACCACAAGGATGCCAAAGAAGTCGATCGTGCTCTGACGCGAATGCTGGCAATGGTCTCCAACAAACAAACAGGCAAAGATGCCCATCACCAATCCATCTCTTCCCAAGATTCACTGTGCTTCTTTGACTAGCTAATGAATGCCTCCAGATAGCTGCATAGCACAGTGTCAGTACCACTCTTTATCGAAGTCCGACACAAAGTACCTCCAGTGTACAGCAAAACGGCTAACATCTCTCCTGATCCCTCCGAAGACATGAGCCCTCGGCAAGACCAACAGAATTTCTATCAGCGGCAGAGACTCACTCCGCGATCTACGAGGTTGACTTCAGCCTGCAGCACATTGTGCGCAGGTTGCACTGCACTAGCTAGCTGCGATCTCATCTGCGTCTCCGTAAATGATCTTGATATCATGGACACCCGCCGTTCTCCTCTACCTGCTACCAACTGGGAATAATCAAAACAAAATCTGCCTACTGGCTTTTGGTACTCTATAAATATCTACCGAGAACTGTAAAACTAAATGTAAATATTGTTCTGAATTATTGTTTGCAGTAGGACTTGAAACATAGCAAGGAGGTCCAAAGCATTGGAAGTTCCCAGCTACCCATACATGTACCGGGTATGCGTTGTCAAGCTCCAAACTATCAATTGTGGCTGCCTCTGGCTGGGTGCTTGATGGCTGGCTAGCCGTTGCCGCCACCAGGTACTGGCCAGCAACCAGTCAAGCCACCACCAGAGAGAAATGTGGCTTGACATCCTGCCGAGAAAAGGAATCCGATGTCGTCTGTTTGGATATCGCAAACTGCAAATGATAGCTAAGAACCAGTGGCTGCTCTGACTCGATGCATTAGCGTCAGACAAACTTCTAGCTGCTGCAGCTAGGAAGACAAACCGAAGAAATAAATCCACAATGTAATCGTTGCTGGAGGCACTCCATCCAAACGGCAACTGCTAGGTTGGGCTCCTCCAAATTGACAGCTCTAGTAGACCTAGTAGCTAGGACAATACAAATTGCATGAAGCGAGCCAACCTTGCACCCCGCCCTCTGATCATGACAGCAAAAATACTAGATTGAATATCTAGCTAGCTATCTGATGATATATCGACCTACCGTACAGTGGCTTCGGCTTGGATCGGTCCTCCAAAGATCCCAGGCATGACCAGGAGTTCGCTGTCTTGCCAATACCCTTACTGGCCGCCTGGCAAGAAAGGTGCCTCGATGGACACAATGGACTCTACTCAAATAACCAGTCCTCCAGTACAAGACGATTTGTCGATACAAAGGATGCTTGCAGTGGCTTTTCTCTCCAGCTCTCAAGTTCTGGCCACCAGCTCGGTTGAAGACCAGGTACTAGCTAGCTAGTAGCTCCCCTCTATCTCCTCTATCTTCAGCTTGTTTTGAGTCCACCCGAAGGAGCTCGAGAAGTGAGAAGTAAGTCTTCGACTACTGTAAACGGGATAACGGGATTCTTTCAAGGATATATGGATGTTGACTTGGTATTCTCACTGGACGAGCCCGTCATTGATACCAGTAACAAAGAGGATTCCCAGACAACTGCAAGTGAGGTACGGTAGGTGGAGCAATAATAAATAAAATCCCATCTATAAATACCGCATGTTCCTGATAATACTGTTGTGCAAAATGAATACCGTCCTCCCCAGCTGACTGCGATTACATTGGTAAACGGTACGGTATTGTAGCTCTTGCGATTGAATCAATGAGACTCTGGTCTACTTAAAGAGATTGCCAGTTTCTCAGTGTAGATCTGTCAGACCCCGAACACCCCGAATTCTTCCAGCACAGTGTGCGAATGCTCATCAGAGTTCTCGAATTGGATGAGAGCAGTTCCCCCATCATCAGTGGCAAACCAGAGCTTCGTTCATACCAGTATGCAATGCATGGCTTGCAGCATTCTCTGCTAGATCTATGCATACTAAGTAGCATCGTATTATAGTGGCCTTTGCCGGTTCTCCTTTGATTCCAAGGCTCTGGGAAGTTTCAGATTCTGATAGCTTTCTGATCAGCTGTTTCCCTGGTCCCACAACAATTCTGATTCTTGGCTCACAAATCCAAACTACCAAACTTCCAAAGCCAAAGCAAGCTAGAAGCAACCATCCAAAAT